CCACTAACCTGATGCTATGTCTTCTTGTCATTGAGTAGTGGCATGCATGTCATACTTTTAAGTGTTTGTTAAGTTTAGGTTATTTTTTAAAAATAAAGATTCATTTATTTTATGTGTGTGAGTGTTTTATCTGCATGTATATGTGTGTACCATGTGCATGCCTGGTGTTCATCATTGGATTCCCCTGGAACTGGAGTCAAGGCTGTTTGTGAACCACCTGGTGGGTACTTGGAACTGAACCCAGATCCTTCAGGAGAGCAGCAAGTGCATTTGACCACCAAGCAATCTCTGCATCGCTAGTATGCTACTCTTAAGCATTTCTGAAATTTGTTTACACTTGGGTCATCCCAGTGTTCTTTTATAATCAATTATACTGTGGCCTAGTTAGTGATGGATTTTCTTAAAATCTCTTAGTAATGTAATTATCAGAGTTTTATTTTAACTCCGAGAAAAACGTTACTGTCCTCAAGAGCTGTGAAAATTCATGCCCCAAGGTGTCCAGCTGTGGCCTACTTTACTTTTACCAGAGTCCTTCAGGAATCCTAATCATTGCAGTCTGTACAAGGATGGCTGTCTGTATCACAGCGAGTCCTAGATGCCCTGTTCTGTTCCCTTGTTTTGTCTAGTGATGTCACTAAGCACACTGCTTGTGACATTAGTGTGGACACGGCCCTTTACCAGTCTATTCTGGCTGTTCTCACATGTGTAAGATCTCCAGATAAACTGGACAGTCATTTTATCAGAAGAATAGAAGTAACAAAGGAGAGTAACAAGATACAGTGGGGAAAAAAGAAGGAAAGAATGTCACCAGAATGTGTGACTTGCATTGCATTCACTTAAGGGAGTTTATTTCTTTACGATATTGAGGGACAAATGGTAGATACTTGTTTAGTACAACTACTATAATCTTTTATCATTCATATATTGAAAGGCTTTATTTCATATATTTTGCCCTTCATTGAAGTTTCTCAGGGTGGCATATTTGGGCAGAGTCAGCTAGGGTGTGGCTGAACACTGTGCACAGTGACGGCGAATGCAGGCCCTTCGCTGGCTCCCTTACTTGGACCGATTATCAGTAGCCATTCAGCCTTTGCCTCCTCATAAATGGAGACAGCAGGTGCTTTAAGTTCCTCATGAGGTAATGTTAAGCTCCAGGTTAGCATTCCTGAAGTATGAACACTTACTGTCACCGGGATGCTTGTGATGGTTCGTATTGACTACTGCCTTTTCCCGTTTTATTTCTGCATTCATTAATGTTTTGTGAAAAGCATAATTTGTTAGGCCCATCCCAGCTTTTCTAATGATCCTTTCATATAGTTTCTAGTGACTTTCAGTTGCTTATTTTGAGTTTTCAAGCTAAACTATAGTAGCATTTGTCAAAAGTAACCATTTTATGTATTTCTAATTTGAATAATTCTTACTCCTTTGCATCAATGGGTACTTCTATGGATTTTAAATAATTACCTGTGGTGTCTTCTGTCCTTATTTTCTGATGATTGGACCTCTAAGCCCAGAGCCTTGTTCCCCTTATCTTTCCTGGGAGTGAGTATTCAACAAAAACTGCAGTAGCTTCCAGCTTAGGGCTGAGGCAGGTGTTCATAGCTAAGTCCAAGCCAGAGGAACTTGTGCAGCCCACCCCAAGAGCATGCCATTAGTGCCGGGGAAAATAGCCAGTTACAAAGAGCTCTCGTTCTTAGCACATCACCATTTTTCTTTTTTCTTTTCTTAAGTTAATTTCTTTGGACTTATTTATTGTATGTGTGCGAGTATTTTGCATGCATGTCCGTGTGTGTACTATGTGTGTCTGTTGCTTGTTTTTGATGGCAGAAAGGAGTTTGAAGTCCCCGAACTGAGGCTGGAATTGTTGGGAGCCATGTTCTGTGTGCCGGAACCAAACCCTGGTCCTCTGCAAGAACAAATGTGCTTCTAACCTCTGAGCCATAACTAGCCCCGTGACACCGTTTTCGTTGGTTTATTTATTCTTCACTCACACATTACATCCTGACCACAGTTTCCCCTCCCTCCTCTCATGCTATCCCTCTCCCCCACCCTCCCACACATCTCCTCTCCTTCCTAGATATACTCCTCCATTTCCCTTCAGAAAAGAGCAAGCCTCCCAGGGAGAGCAACCAAATAGGTTATAGCAAGTCACAATAAGACTAGACACATGTCTGAAGGCTGTGTGAGAAAGCCCAGTAGAAGGAAACAGGTCCCAAAAGCACACAAAAGAGTCAGAGACAGCCCCTGCTCCTATTGCAAGGACACCAAGCTACACAACTATAATGTATGTGCAGAGGACATAGCTCAGACCCCTACAGGCTCCCTGGTTGTCGGTTCAGCCTCTGTGAGCCTCTGTGAGCTCTGCTTAGTTTATTCTGTGGGCCATGCTCTTGTTTTGCAAAGGGATACCTTAGTAGATAGTCATCTGAGTCAGACTTCTTGTCTCTGACATCAACCTCTGACCTTCAGCAGCCTCTGAGGGGCAGGATGTGTGCACACGTGCACTTGTATTGTTCATAGCTTTTCAGGAAATTCTCTAAAGGGATCTGAATCGCACGCTTTCCCTGGGGTCTCTTCATAGAAGACAAATTAAGGTTCGAAATAGGCATTTGAAAGATAACATCTGTTATAATTATATTGAAAGAATTGGTGATTTAATAGACTCTTTCAAATGTGGTCATGCTTCAAGGTTATTATTGTGCATAATAATCATTGCAGAACAGAAAATTCCCTCTACATTTAAGCTTTTCTGTTTATATTTAGACAAATGGGTATTTGGAAGACATCCCGAAGAGGAGAATGCTAGCCTGATTACCTCTGTTTATTTGTCATTTCTTTAGATTGTTTTATCAAACATTCATGTTCTGGTGACCAGATGACATGATTATCAGAAAGAGTTTAGAAAGTACACAGGATGCATCAAAAGGAATGTTTGTCATAAATAATGTTCACTGATTGAGCATTGACAATTTTGTTTTTAGCACAAATCACATTAAAATAATAGAAAGAACTTCTTTGAGTGTATGAACTCACGTGGATGGGAAAGCAAGAGGCAAGACAAAGGTGGCAATATCTTAGAAGTTGGAAGCACATGGTAGCATGGTGATGGAGGTAGCAGATGTTTCCACGACAGGCTCTCAGGGTCCTGGGAATTTGCAGCAGATGTTTCCGGTCATTGGAAGGCAAAGAAGCTTGTGTTAGCTGTGTTGTTTGGGTACCATCTGAGAAGCAGTTATACCTTAAAATCCCCTTCTCAGGCCTGGCAGAAGCCTGGAAAGTACTTACCTTGTGGAGAGGACTCAAAAGAGTTGATAATAGGGATGTTAGGTTGCCTCACTGGAATAGGGTGGAAGAGCTGTTTCCTGAGAACTTGTGGTCTCAAAATGACAGTCTATTTCCCAGCTGACCCACAAGGGGAATGCCCAGGGTGGCGGGCCATGGAGTGAGGTTCCAGACATCAGCCAGTGCAGAGACCTGGTAGAGTTGGGGATGAGCTTCGAGAAGAGGTATCTGAGAGATGCAAATGCAAAGAGAAAGGATTATTGTGTAGCCTGGAAGGACTTGAACTTGCTATGTAGACCAGATTGGCCTGGAACTCAAGGAAACCTGCCAGTTTCTGCCTCTTCATACTGGGATGAAAGGTGTATGACACCCCGCCCAGCCACAAGATATGCCTTAACTTCTTGAAGCAAGTAGGCCAATTGGTGGGTGGTGTTGGATTAAATTAATTATGAAAAATCTAAGAAGCTAATTCAATTCAGAGAAAGCAAAAGCAGGAAAGAAAGAAAATCAAGTGAAACCTATAGCTTCATTTTGAATATTATTTATCATTACTATAATATAAAATAATTGATTCAACCAAAATTACAGGGTAGGATGGTGGTATGGACTGATGCACTTGTCTTGGATGATGTGCCTGTGTGTGTGGGGGGGGGGCGGGAGAAGGGGCTGACTAGGGGAAGAACTTCAAATCTCCCCTTGCCCTTGGAACAGTCAACACCTAATACTTAAGCAACTTGGGGGGTGTGCTTAGGATCATGGTCTGTTATGATCACAAAATCATCCATGGAAAGAACTGACGAGAAAGTTGCTGGCATGAGAGAGAGAAAACAGGTAGTCTTCACAGCAAACATTTTTACTTATCATAATTTTGAGAGAAATAAGAAAGTAAAATAGGAACACTTGCTGCTGGCATGTTGCTGTACATGTTTACACGTACGCATACATGTGTGTGCAGTTGCACACATGCATATGTGCCCTCTTCCCTGGAGCATTTGCTTCGGGTCAGGTAGCATGCTGGGCCTGTGCCATCATGGCGGGAGCATGGCATCAGTCAGGCAGTAGCTAAGATCTTACATCCTGAGACCCAACTATGAGGCAGAGAGAGCTACTTGGGAACAGCCTGTGCTATTAAAACCTTGCAGCCTGGCTCCAGTGACACACCTCCACACACTTCCTAACCCTTCCCAAATAGTTCCTCCAGCTGGGAACCAGGTATCCAAACAGATGGCCTTCTTTTCAAACTACCACACTGGGAAACCCGTGGATTGTTATGCTCCCGAAGTATTGTGCCCTGTATTAGTCTACAGGTAGCTGTGCAATTAGTAGGACCGTTAAGATGCTTTCGGGTGATGAGGAAGTGGTTACTATCCAGCTATGATCGTTACACATGAAATTGATAGCAGTTTTACACATGAAATCGATAGCAATTTAAACCTTCATTTTTATTAGAACAGTCATATAAGTATTTCATTTATAATATAGCTCAACTATTAATTTGGTTGAAAGTACCCATGGCTGTGACAAGATACTCTATCTCTTCCTGACATAGAAGCGACTTATGTATGTGAGAACATTATAAAGATAGCAAACTTGTGACAATATTTTAAAATTTCTACATTCTCTCATGTTTAAGTTTTACTGCTGTAGTTGGACTCTAGACATGCTGTTTGCTGTGTTAGGGTGCCGATGATCTAACGGCTTCATTCTCTTGCCTGAAGGAGGAAGACAGTGGTCCCATGGCACCCTTGGATGAGAAGTGGAAACTCCTGAGTGCCAGCTTCGTTTTAACCCCCAAGCCTGCATTATCTCCAGCTACTCCAGCTCTGATGGATATCTGTGGCCGTTGTCTGCATATATGCTGTTATAAAACATTAGAAGTGGCTGTTCACTGTAAAGAATCTCTGTGTATGTGCACACACCACAGCTTCTGGGATTCAGACTTTTGCACATACTGCTAATTGCTTATGTGTACAAAAATGAAAGTAGTTTTCAGACCTATTGATATGACTGTATCATACATCAATAATAGACAAGAGAAACCCTCCACACTTCTAGAGCCAAGTTGTTCATTTCCTATCTGTATTAGAAAATATGCTCATCCCAGCCTAGTGTAATTCTTGATAATAAAGTAAGAGTTTTGATCTACAACAGCCTAGAACTTCAAATTACAACATGAAGGAATCATAAAAATTATCTTGTGTGTTTTTTAACAATCATCTCAAACTTAATATCAAGCCTGTTCATTATAGAAAACAATTTTGGAATTAATGAAAAATGCTTTATATATTATATTTTAAATAACTTAATTGAATCTAATATAGTTATAGCATATCAGAAACTATGGCTTCTACGAAGTTAAGAATAGCATAAGAAATAAATAGGAAGATAGGGGAACTGTGATAGCTTTGTTCTCCATAGTAGAAATATAATTCAATAGCATACTATATTAGTTTAGTATTGTACACTTTGTGAGACTTCAAAATACTTTATTCTATAGATTGAACTTCTGTGTTGTGGCAAGACAGGCTTGATCATACCCTTATTTTAATAGTGGCTGTCCATTAAGCACATCTTTAGTCACAGAATGCTGTAAAGTAGTAGAGATGCTAGCAAACAGCAAGGACTTAATGAATAAAAGGTGATTATACTTGTTTAAAAAAAACACCAAAAAAAAAAAAAAAATGGCTTCAGTAACAATCTCAATTTGGAGGGATTTGGTGGTGGTAGGTAGAAAGCCACCTTTTCTGAAATTTTTAGATCTGTTTAGCAGAGACTGCATTAATGGTAACAACACAACATTACACAAGACCTTCCAAAAAACAGAAGCAAAGATGGCTGGAAGGAAGACGAGAGCCATGGTCCTAAGGAAAGTGGGAGCTGAGAAGGGTCAGGAGCCCCAGAACACAAAAAAGCAGCCCCAGGCAGGACCTCCTGGTACAGACAGGCCTTGGGTACTTGTTTTCTTGTAGCTTTTAGTGTTTGCTAAAAATGAAATGGCAAAGTATAGGTTAAATAAAACAAACAAACAGACAAAACAACTCTGCCGTCTATACCTCTGTACCATACAGGCTAGTACTAGGAGACATGTTCAGCTGTAGCTGCAAGGGCATCATCGTTTATAGCTAATGGACTACATCTACAGGCTTTCATGCCCAGCCAGTCAAGTGGCACATCTGGTGCTTATTTGGTAGATCAGTGCCTGGGACACAGTCACACATAAGTATCTGTGTCCTACAGGACAGACCTGGACTTGAGCTCTTGGTTTTCATGTCTCATACTTCTTTCAGTCTTTACCCATCTAACCCTAAAATGTATAAAGTGGAAAATGTAGCTACAGAAACTAATATAATTGACTTCCAGAGTGATAGCTGTCTGTCACATACTTATCCTCTAGTCTAAGATAAGAATATCCTAAAGCAACCAAGTTTATTTTCTGAGTATTTTCTTAAATGATCATTTAAGATTAGCATCCATGGTGAAGCTTAATACTCTTTATATTCTTTTTATCTTTTATTTATTGATTTACTTATTTTGAGAGGAGTTCTCACTGTCTAGCCTTGACTGCCCTGGCTATCTCTGTGTGGATCAGATTGGCTTCATCTCACAGAGATCCACCTGACTCTGCTGGATTTAGAGGTGTGTACCACTAAGCCCAACCAAGGGCTGATTGCCACTGATTCAGAGTACAAAGACAAATGTGTTGGCATGAATGGATTTGAAAGTCTAACTTTTTCATCAATGAAACTGTAAATAAATAGTCTCAAATCTGCGTTACTCTGGTGGTGAGTGGGAAAGGAAACCAGAAGTTATGTGATGGAACCTGAGGCTGGATGAACCCTCTGGAGCAGACATGAAGGAGGCCATTAGCTGGGAATGTGTGATGAATCTCACCAATACTGACATTTAAAGCAAAGGCAATAGACTGAGGTGCCTCCCATGCAGCTTTCACACCTGACTTGTGGTCATTAATGAAGCTAATGGTATGTGAGGGACATTGATCTCGGAAGGTTTTTCAGCCAAGATACTGTCAGTCTTCCAACTGGAACAAAAGTGCATGTGTTTGTATGTGTGTGGGCACATATATGCCACTGTGGAGGTTAGAGAATTACTTTGAGGATGTTGGGCCTCTCTTTCTACTATGTTGGGCCTGGGGATGAAATCAAACTTAAGTCATCAGTCACTACCATTGATCCCTTTCAAAGAGTCCTTTCCTTTTGTTGTTGTGTGGTCCATCCAGAGGCTTGCCAATCTTCTTAATCCTCCCAAAGAACTGAAGCTTGATTTTGTTGTTTTTCTCTGTTGTGCTTTTTGCTGTTGTGATCTGCATTTTCTTTCATTACTCGATGCTTACTCTGCTTTTAAGCACTGCTTTTTCCATTATCTTAAGGGGTAAGATCAGGTTATTTATTTGAGATTTTTCTGTTTTAAATCAAGACATTTGCTGTAGTAAGTTTTCCTTGCACACTTTTAGCAGCAGCCGATAGATTTTGCAATATTTTTAAAATTTTCTTCCACTTTAATGTATTCTGCACAATTTGTACTTCTATGTTGAACCCAATTATCATTTAGAAGTATGTTGTTTATTTAATTTGGACATATTTATGAGTTCCTAAGTTTTCATATTTACTTATTATTTCGTGTGTGTGTGTGTGTGTGTGTGTGTGTGTGTGTGTGTGTATGTGTGTGTGTAGGCAACATAGTTGGTGTGCTCTGAATCCTTTACAAGTTGTGTAGTCTTTCTTTTATCTCATGGAAAATTGTATAGGTATGCTGAATGTGGGTGCTATTTCTCCTTTTGTGCAGTGTGTCCTCTAGAAGCTTATTTTAATGTTGACTTATAGTTTTGGTTAAGTCTTCTATTTCCTTGTCAGTCTTCGGCCCATTTCTGCTCATTAATGGGGTAGATATTGAAGTCAACAATTACTCGTTAAATAGCCTCTCTTAAATTCTTTATTTTCTTTGTGTACATTGGTACTCTGTTTTTCAAGGATATATATATTTATAACTGTTAAATTTTTTGCTTTTTGAGTTTATATTTATAGTGGTTTATTCCAGGATATATATATATATATATATATATATATATATATGTGTGTGTGTGTGTGTGTGTGTGTGTGTGTGTGTGTGTATAATGTTCATATATTTGAATTTCTGAGAATTGATTTTAGATTTATACCAACTTGATTATTATGATCTACTTTATTCCAAAATAGCCCCTGACTTAACAACTTTTTTGTGTATGTACACACACATATACACACACATATATATATTCCTTGTCATATGACCATAGCATATTATCTTGCATTTATAGATGTATCAACCTCAACAATATATTTTAGAATAAATACTCCATCTGATTATATACATTATCAAAGAGCTTGATAAAGAAGATTGAATATATTCATAGAGTTTCTCATTTAATCTTATTTGACACTCTCCTTATGTTCATTTGTCCCAGTGATTCAAGTTATTGAGAAGTGTCAGTTCTTGATCTAGTTCTGCTTTATTCCCATCTGTCGTTATGCTGTCATTGTCAAGAATGATGCACTGTCTTTATGTGTGTTGTAGGTCTAATGGTACTACTATATAGTAGAGCTTTATATAATTGTCTTTTAAATGATAGTATTAATAAGACATTGCTTATTTTTAAAGACCCTAAAGTGATAGTATAAGTAAGAAGTGACCACCTCACACTCCTTTATAATGACCTAATTATAGTTTCTGATGTTATGCTATTTTGGAAAAGGTTCAGATTAGTGTCTGGTATCTCCAGGGTTCGGGCTGAGGATCTTAGTTTAGCATTGCTTTGGAGTAAGTCTACAGGAAGTTCTTGGTTTTTGTTTAGACATAAAATCTTCATTTCACCCTTTGTGAAACTTGGTTTTGCTGGATATAAGAGTTTTCACTAATGTTTTTTTATCAAACAAGTGATGGTTCCCTGTCTTCTAGGGTCTACAGTTTCTGGTGTTATTTTATCAGTTATACTCACCTCTGAGTAATAAGTTGCTTTTATCTGTGACTTTCTGAATTTTCTTCCCATTCAGCATTCTTATTGTGATATTTTGGGGTCTAAATTTGTGTTTATACCATTGGAGGTATTTGGTTTTCTTGAATATGTAGAATAATGATTTTTCTGTCAAACACTAAAAACATTTTTCTCTTATATTTAGCCCATCTAACTTTTAGCAGCATTTCAGTGTATACCAAAGAAAAAAGATTCCACCCCTATTGTTCATAATCCTGGTCTAGGACTGGAAGATTAACCCTATCAGCTTGTAAAGGACAATGATAGGTTTGGGACTCATATCTAAGATTAAACATTCTCACAGATTTTATTAAGATAGAGAATATTAAGCTTCAGGCTCAGAGCAGTGTCAAGGGAGCCATGAGCCTTAGACCCAGGAGCAGAGTCAGAGGTAGGTTTGAGCTGCAAGCCCCAAGTAGCATCAGATGAAGGCTGAAGCTTCAAGCCCAAAGCAGCAGTATCAGAGGGAGACTGGAGCTCCAGGAATGGAGCAGTGTCAGAGGGAGGCCCCAGTCTCAGCCCCAGGAGTGGTGAGGAGTCATCCCAAATGAAGCAGAGCAGCACTTTCTAGCAGTAGCTGGAACTATTTCCAGAAACTATTGCAAAATTTCCTCTAGGAAAGAGCACCACACCATCTCAGTCAACATCCAATGCCATTTCATGGTGGGAGATACCCTGCTACTACAACTCAGCCTCATCTACTCCTCCAATGGAAGGAGCACCCCTCTGGAGCTCTAGCCCCACCTGCACCTAAGGAGTGGCCACTTGAACATTGGGCCCACTTCTACCAGGAGTAGCATTCACCAGAGGCTCTGCTCTGCTTATGCCTAAAGGAGCAGTCAACAGAGCCACAGACCCCAACTATACCTATTGGAGAAAGAGAGAGTCCCTGAAGCACAAGCTCCACCTATACTGATTAGAGGAAGTGATGCATAGATAATAAGGTAAGAACATGCTCAACAATATAAAGAGCAATACAGCACCACTAGAAAGTAGTGGTACTATAACAGTAAGACATGAGCATCCCAGTACAGATAAAGTAGAAGAAAATTACTTAAAATATAACTTCATGAGGATGATTGAGAGCCTTAAAGAGGAAATGAAAAATTCTCTTAAAGAA